GCAACAGGTGCTGGTATGACTGCTGAGATAGTGACCGCCAGCGAGGTGCCTAGTGGAGGGATGCCTCATGAGACATGTCAGCAGCTTGCATCTCAGGAACACATGTCGACTGAGGCATGGATGGAAGACAATTCTAACTCCACCACCAGTAGCATGTACGAGACCCCAGTTGCTGCCTCGTCAGAAAACACAAGGTTCATACAAACGTTGAATCAGCATCAACCTTACATGTCCGGCCCCACCAACCAAGACTGGAGGTCAGAGATCTTGCAGAACAACTCTGAGGCTGTCCCAGTTGCCATTGCCCCGACAATCCCACATGGCGCCAACCAACAGTGCCTGTACACCGGCACAACCTCCTTTCAAAACCAGAGTCACGGGGCCGCGGGTTCGTACGGTAGAATGGTTCAGCCCTGGGCCGGTGACCCGACCCAAACACAGCAGCAAGGGCCGGGTAATATCACCATGAATACATTATTCCTGTGGCAACAGAACATCAACCTCGCCCAGCAGGTGTCCCTCACAAACATCCTGGCCAGGCACAATCCCTTCCCCAAACCTCATGTGCTCTTCACCAATCCTCCACCTCCAGCCTCAATCTCAACAACCAATCACATCCTAGGGGCGCCTGGCATGACTCCAACCAATGACCAGAGTTCAACAATGGTATCCCATCATCCTCAGGGGCTGGGAGCAACTCCCAGAGACTACTACACCTCTTCTAGCACCAAGCTAACCTACGTCAACAGCAATCGCAACTGGTTTGGACTGAACGGCCAGGGACTGCCACCAACGGGTCTACCTGGAGTGCACAGAATGGTAAGCAACCTAATAAGGCCACACCAACTTGATTTCTTGGTTTTCGAGATATTTCTAGATTAGAATATCAACATGAAAACAGAGTCTGTGGGGAATGTCTGTACTTTGATGCATACAGTTTCAGGGATTGAACAGATTCAGATGCAAGTTTTCACAGCCTTCAGCAAATCTGTGATGTCCCCTCATATAAAGTTAAACCCACGAATGGTGACATGCCGACTTTCTCCTATTTTTCCCAGTCACCTCACTAGACCACAATATAGACAAGAAAATAACATTACAGTCAAAACTGACCAAGAAGACTCTGGACTGTATGACAGAATGCAGACAGGTGGTCACTATAGACAGGATTCTTAATGCTTGTGTCAGTGGGAAAAACTATCTGAGGGACCACAAGAAAGTGGTCACATTGGCCAGGTGGTCCTTATGTAGAGTTGGTCACTTGTACAGGTTTGACTGTATTTGTCTTTCAATAGCCTCCTTTTTTATTACAGAACAGCCAAGGTGTCCTGCCTGGGCAACTTTCAGCACAAGGATTGCAGACCTTCCAGAAGTGAAATGATGATGAGACAGAAATTCTTGACTCACAATTTTAGACTTAAAAGGGTCAACATTAAGTTTCCACTGTAAGGACTTGTACCAAGTTCAGTGCCTTCATTTCCTAAGTTTTGACTGACATTACTTATGGTATTAAGTAAACATACTTTTTATGCAACTGAAAAATTGCATAAAAGGCTCCGCAATACCTCGCTTGAGCTATTGATGAAATTAAAATAAGGACTGTATTGTTTGCCAGAAAGGTGTTGCTAATTTAATCTACACAATAGTGCAAAGTAATTATGAAATTGATGTTAACTTAACTTGTTCCATTGAATGTTTATTTGACGACTCGAGAGGCGACAACTACAATGATGATGATGATGATAGTGACATTAAGAAGTGCATGTTGTTTTCTATTGCACTGTTATTGAAGTAAATGACTTCAGTTTGTTTGAGTTCAGTTTACATGATTCGTCTCTAATGTTTTGGAAAGACGTTAATGTTTAAGTTCATCAGAAAGAATGTTGCATTGATTATGTTCATTTTTCCCAATGTTCAAAAGGTGATATTTTGCTAACTTGACTTTGTTGAACAATTTCTCCAAGCTATTATATTATAACTCAGACAATGCTGATGAATTCAGCCATGATAGAAACTGGCTTTGATTATGTTCATGAAGCAGTTTGTTTGGAAATGATTTGTTAGTTTGTAACAGATTATATAGTACAGATGTGCATGTACTGAAAAACACTAATGACAAGAATTAAGAAGAAGTATAGAAACCTTTATTTATCTTTTTAATTTCTCAGTCTTAATTTTCCATTTATTTTTTTCCAGTTTTTCATACACATATCATATGTTGTGTATACTTGAATTTATCTATTTATTTATTTATTTATTGGCAAATATTACAGTAGTACATGATTGTGTAATACAAAAGTATATCATAGACACATGTAATTATTTATATTCCTAAAATTTCAGTATCAGCAGCTTATTTGTAAACTTGAGATTCAACTATATCATAATGTGTATTATCTTATATTGTTATTTACAGATCTACATAAATATATTTTTCATCTATTAGGGTAATCATTGGAACTGCGAATGGAAAACAATTGTGTATTCCTGATTATCAAAGACACATTTTGTTACTTAAATATTGCTTCTTCATACCATTGTGTTCTTGCAACAGCAGACCCAATACATGTATACAGAAAATGACAGGTCTAGTTTATCTGGCTCTGATCTACTATCCATCTTTGCTACATTCTCAAAAAACATGATAATGGTTTTGTTTTTTGAAGACTAACACTGCCCAGGGAGGTTGTAGTGGATACATGTACATTTGTGTACCTCCTTGGACACTGATGATGATTGGCAAAGGTACAAAACTGTTGATTAGTTGTCATAGTTTTTTTTTGCTGTGACAGATTTAAACAACGATGTCCAAAAAATGAACAAATTTTATCAAATTGACCGAATGACTGAGGGAGTAGCCAGGGAGCGAGGACTTCCCGCCGCCCCTTTGTAAAAGTCACGTTTGGTACAGTCCAGATTGCTGCAGCTGCGTTCAGCTCTGCAGGAGTAATTTTTTCGGAACTTTCTTGGGCGAAATTATTTTGTTTCTGTTGCTTAAAATGTATCTAAAATGTATGTATACATGTAGTAAATGTTCAGGATGCTTCTGTGGTAGATTTGAGGCGTTCTCTAAGGTATTAGAGGGAGAAAATGCGTATTTCCTGACGTAGCGAATTTCGGAGAAGACGAGGGAGACATTCAAAATGGCGAGGCGGCGTGGTATGGAGAAAGGCTGGGGACACCGTTCGAAGGAAATGCGTTTAAAGGTAAAACAACAAACCATCCTCCCGAAATTTATCTCCAACTATCTCATAACAGAAATTTACGTTATATTCAGTGTTAATTGGTGTACGTACGAGACTGTACTGTAGTGTTGGGGGTCGTTTTGTACTTTCTGAACTGTCGTGACGTGCCGGTAATATTTTATCCTTGGTGTATCGTCCTTGACAACGTATTTTTCCTTGTGGTGACATAATGAGAAAAACCTAAAGACAATATTGACGTGGCAGTGTTAAAGTGTAATACTAATCGACCAGCTTTTATTATTATCTTCTTTTTTTTTTTACTTTCCTCGCCGTATTCTCAAGCGAGGTTCATAGAACACCTCCGTGTAGTTACGAAATCCACCGCACGTACACGTGGACATTTTAAATGCTTTAATTTTCCCGCCAAAAAAGCTCGCGTATTTTACAAGAAGGCAATCCCCCGAAGTAGCTGAATTCAAAATACAGCTAGCTTTAGTTGGCAGAGATTGGGCTTTTCTAGACATTTTTGAAATGGAGGATTAATATTTGACTGGGTTGGTTTGTTTTTGTACCAGGATAGTTAAATGTTGTTTTATATGCTACTACGGTCTTTCTATGTTTCATGTCAACGTTGCATTATTTTCTATAATCAGGCTGTTTTCATATCAAATCTTCTACCTTTTGATATGCAGTGCTCTCAGCCATGTGTACAAACAACGTCCATTTCTTTATTACCTCCGGGGAAGGAGATATCCTTCCGCGAGGAGGTTTTACTATTGTTCGAAACATTTCTGTCAGCAGCTGTTTCTCGCGATCGGCTGGACGGATTGGTCTGTGGTTCGGTATACGTATTGCTGTTGGGCTGCAGATGATGCAGAACGTTTTTGTTTAATTGTATATGTGTTTATGGGCGTGGAAATAAAAGGTTTTTAAGTGCTCCAGACACCCCCGCCATGCTGAAAATGGAATTTACCATGTTGTTAAGGAATGGGGAGGTTTCAGTTTTGGGTCTTACCATTTAAAAGGGGTCAAACAGAGGGGTGTCTGGTTCCGATAAAAACGTTGGGTGACGGCGCAGCAATGACGGCGGGGGTAATGGCGCGGGTGACGCTGAACGCTGGGTGCAAGCCGAGTCAGCGCTAGATCTTCGTGTCGCGGCATTTATTTCCAGAAATACGGCAAGTACGGCGCGTAGCTAGCATGGCAGCAGCCAGCAGAAGCGGTGGGCGGGCGGTATGCAAACATGACGTATCCGCGTTACGCGTCTCTGATTGGTTGTTCGCTTCAGCTGAGATCGCCGGGCGGCAACATGAAGGGCGCGGGGACGCGATTTTTCTGTTTGAAAATATGCACTAAACGCTGTTTTCCAGGACTGCATAGCCACATCTAGTGAAAAAGTGCACAATTAATATAAATTTGGGGGGAAATATTTGTTTCTTTGTCGATTTATGGTGTTGATTTATGGAACCCGGAAGTGCAGCCGAGACCAGCGCGCAGCTTAGACCAGCGTGGCAGTTTGACGTGTACGATCAAAACATAAACAAAACTCCCGCTGAAGAAGGGAAATTATCCTGTATGTATGCATTTCAGATCCCAGTGACTATGTTTACGATGGGAATAATTGTGGATACGC